AAGTATTTAGTATTGATATTTTAACTCCTTATCGTTTAGAAAAATATTAGATTTTTATTTTTTCAACTTTTATTATTTAGAAAAAGTATTTAGTATCGATATTTTAACTCCTTATCGTTAAAAAAAAACATTAATAAAAAGAAAAGGGTCGAAAAAAAGCTGAAAATACGAAAGTAAAAAATATTAATTGGAGTTAAGGATAGCGATTGATATCAAACGTTGGATTTCACTGATTAGTGAGCGCGATATAATAAAATACAATAGAGGATCTTTTAATCGCTTTAATACATTTAATGGCTACAATACGTAACTAACTGTGGGAAACTGTATATAAACCAATCAACCACGAAAAAGATCTCTCATTTTCCCATAGGATCGGAAACAACGGATGGATCTTTTGACGGTCAAAGTTAACTAAATCATCCCAATTAGTATCCGTGACAGGATGCGTTGCGTGATCGTCTGCCGGAAATTACGACACTGATGCTGTTGGTACTATGTTGAGGTGTTTAAGTGTAGTTATACATTACATATTTTTGATAACGGTACAAGCTTTGCAGAAAAGGAAACATATAGGGATGCATAGGACAGATGCGGTTGTTTTAATGACTATTCAGTACCGGAAGATGAGTTAACGTGTATGGTTTATTATGCGATTTTACTTTGCAGCTGAATTAAGACTAAGATTTGTCTTGCACGCAATTTCGAAGTATTATCGAAACTATTATGGAATGATATTAATTTAAAAGGTTTTAAGTTGGCTAGAATGTTAGGTAAAATTCTATTTATTTAAACTAATAATTACGAACTATTTTTTTATTTTTATTTTCAATTTAATATTAAGTCAACAGGGATCTGTTTAGAAGAAATTTGCGGACCCTTCTAATATCAAAATATCTTTTCATAAAAACGGACCCTTCACAAGATATTTTAACTTAAAAACGGACCCTTCACAAAATGATTTTTCTTTTAATCGGACCCTTCACAAATTTGTTTATCTTCATTATTGTTTTGTTAATCGAATAAACCCTTTCCAGGGCAGAAAACAAGAAAGATGGATGTAAACGAATTAAGTTTTGTCTTCGGCAGGCGTTTCTTCCATTATTCGTCCGAAATGAATATTCTGCGTTCAGCAGTATAGACTAAATACCAAATATTTGTATGTTGCATCTCTAATTTAGAAGCAGCAATTGCTGTTTATTTTTGAAAATTTAATTTTTTTTAATTATAATTTTTCAGTGCCGAGCATAATCTTGTATCTGTTTGCAATTTAAAAACTCATTGAAAAAGTTTTTTGCAATAACCGACAATATTTGTACAAATTCATAAAAGCGGACCCTGGTTGAAAGAATGTGAGTAATTTTTTCACAATTTCACGAAAACCGGACCCTTCACAAAATGTTTGGACAGACCCCTGGTCAAGTTTTAAGTATAATTTTTATTATTTATTAAGTTCTAAAAGCGCTTTTTTACTTTACAATATATATATATAAGAGTTATTAAAAGTTTTGCATGAAGAAGGGCATTTATTTTCTATTTCACATAGAAATTTATAAATTTTGTATTATCTTATTTTTAGATATATTAATTGAATTTAGTAATAGTTTTCAATCAATATTACCTACGTAAAAATATATAATCTGTGTCCATTAAAATTGTTCATATAAAACGAAACGTCTTTCCTGATTTATATTGAAAATTCTGTAAAATTTGAATTCGAAGCTCTTATTTTGATGAAAATCTATGCAAATTTAAAACTGATAATCCCTTGCATATTAAGTTTAATTAGCAATGAAATCGAATAAAGTTAAATTTTTTAATGCCTTAATTTAGTTATTATAAACTAAATTTGTCCTACAATGTAATAAGTCATAAATGCGCTCATTAAACATGAATCTCATTCACAATTTGCATTGAAAATTCAAAAAAACATTTACAGTGCCCTACTCCGATTTTTATAATTTTTCATAAAAAATAATTCCTATGCAATTACTTATCACTAATGAAAATGCTAAAATACTTTCCCCCCCCCCTGTCCGAATATTGAATGCGTTGAATAGACATTTATTCAGTTGTAAAAAAAGAAAAAATAATAATAAGTGAATAAAATCTACTGCATGAGGCAAATTATTATTTACAGAAAATAAAGTTGAATTAAATTCAATGAAGAATAATATGAGCGATAAAAACACCTAGACTTGAAGGGGAAGGGAAATAATTCAGCGGAATTCATGAACACATCAAATAAATTTTGGTTTCTGTTTTTGTATTGGGATGCGCTCGTAAAATGTGCGCACATGCCGCAACCTGTAAAACGCCAGCTGGTTTTTGAAATCGAAAATGCTCTCTTGTGATTGGTCGTGCTTTGCGTCATCTCAAACCGGAAACTTGCTTCTCTTAAAAACTTCTAGTTTCTCTTTCCATGGGAAGCGCAGGACAGCTAGAAACAGAAATGATCGCTAATTTTGGCGTAATTATTATTCAAAGAAAAGAAATCAACATTTTAAAAATTTTGTATCATTTTAATAATGTAAAGTTTTTTTTTTTTTTTAAAGAATTATAAATGTAAATAAGACGCTTAATTCAAGATAAATTGCTATTTAAACAATAATTCATAAATAACAAATTACGAATAATTTAATTTGTATTATTTTAATAATGTAAAGGGTTTTTTTTGAAAATTGTAAATATAAATAAAACGCTTAATTCAAGATAAATCGCTATTTAAACAATAATTTTATATATAAATATTAAATTGTTTATGGCATCGATTTCAGAACTTTTATGTCTAGCGAATTATTGAAAAAATTTATTCGTATTATTTTAATAATGTAAAGGGTTTTTTTGAAAATTGTGAATATAAATAATACGCTTAGTTAAGATAAGTCGCTATTTAAACAATAATTCATAAATAACAAATTACGAATAATTTTATATATAAATATTAAATTGCTTAAGGCATCAATTTCAGAACTTTTATGTCTAGCGAATAATTGAAAAATTTTATTTGTATTTTAATAATGTAAAGGTTTTTTTTTTTAAAAAATTTTTTAATTGTAAATAAAACGCAATTCAAGATAACAATAATTAACAAGATATAAAATTATTTCAACAATATCTCATAAATAACAAATTACGAATAATTTTATAGATTAAATTGTTAAAAGCATCAATTTCTGATGGTTTATGTATAGCGAATTATTGTAAAATTTTCTTTTCTACATGTATTTTAATTATTTTATTTCTTTATTAAATATAGTTTCTCCTTAAACTAATTCTAATACTAAGAAACTATTAATAGGTTATTTCTGCACATTAATTTTATTTATATATAGTGAATTTTTTCTACTTATGTTTTTTCTCCTTTAAAAAATCGAATTGGTGTTATAAAACGCCATAAACTTTCAAGTGTTACATTGAAAAAATTAAAATTGTTAAATGAAGCTGATAAAATATTAATGAGGAAAAAAAATCGAAAACCTCAACAATTGCATTGTGTGAAAAAAATATATATATTTATTTAACTATTGTTTTTACAATAATTAGGTAAATAAATTTTCGAAAATTCAAATTACAATATTAACCAAAATATCAGTTTTGAACTATATTTATTATACTTTATAATGTTGTAATCGAAATGATAAAACGAAAATAAAAATGCAATAATAAATTTGCACCATTTATATCAGTAAAAAATATAAGATTTCCTACTGAAAAATTTAAGTATTTGTAAAAAAAAAAAACTTTCGTTTATTTTTATATTATAAATAATTTTTGAATGCTTAAATATGTATCAATAACAAACATTTGGCGAGTTAAATAGTTTGGCGACATTAATCGCGGACAAATGGGAAAAAAAAAGTTTTTAAATAAATGGTAACCATGCGCGGGAGCAGGTGTTGGCGGGATCGAAGTTCTTTGTTATATTTGGCGGGTTCCACAGGAAGTTGATTCCAGGTCCTTTAAAAAGTGTCCCTCTCAGGGATTGGTCGCTGGTGCCCCTCCTTCAGGTATACCCTATTTGAGGCCACCATATGTTTTTGAAAGGAAGTGTATATGACATCAGAGTTTTTGTCTGAACATCATACTTGTTTCTTCAAAAACACATTGTAGATGGCGCTCTAGTTAGTGCGTAAAAGTAGAAAAAATTATAGTATTCAATCTCTTAAATATAAACGCGTCACTTTTGTTATTTTCAATACACACAAACTTTTAAATATTTTGGGAGAAGTAAAAAAGAGAAACTTATGATTAACTTCTTTTATTTTAATAATTTTATAAATTTGAAATTAATAGTTTTTTTTTTCTAATTAAAAACCTTTTTTCTAAGTATTAAACTACTAATCTTAAAGTATGAAATATCAAAACTATAGATTTTTCTGTCTTATGATTTATCATAATTCAAAAAAGTTGCAAGTTTATTTCGGTTAATTGTAGTTTTCACTGAAAATTGAAGTCTTCATATAAATAAAGCTAACAGTTACAACCTTTTGTTTTGCTCCATAATGAAACCTTGTAAATTGTATTAAAAATAAGTTGTAAAATCTTTATATAAGTGATTCTTAAGAACTCATTCTACATACATTTTGATATTATCGTAGGCGTTGATCAACCAATCCATATTGGATTTTCAGCTATATTAATGTTCAAATCTACAACCTTGTAATATTTGAAACTAACCCAAAAGACAAAGCTACAGCTAGATTGTAGTTAATATTAGTAATAAAATGGTACACATTTAAATTAATTCATTCTTTCAGTTGTGAGACATAAAATTTTATATTATGTGTCAGCTTGAAGTGAAAATTTTGAGATCTTAAAACTTGAGTAATTATTGAAGGAGATTGATACCTTTATCCTTATAGAGTGGTGATACATCAATAATATATATGTTTCTTATGTTTTGCAGACAAATGTGACATATTTATCATGTTTTGCATTTATGAAACATTTTTGACTAATTTTACATCAAATATTAAAAGAAAAATTTTCTCTTTTAGAATATAAGTTCACTGCTTATTCTGCATCATTGTTAGCTGCATCGTGTCTTGCAGTTGCTATAAATGGACTCACATGGTTGCAGAAGCCCTGGGAATCATTATCTGCTCTATTAGAACATTTAACTGAGCTTATGGACATCAATGTTGTAAGTATTCAACGATGTATTGTTATTTCTATACATCAATGTTTCTCAACCTCATTTGGTTGATTTCATACAAAAAAAAACTGCAATTGTTTGCTGTACAATTGATAGATATATAATATAACCCTTCACATATTTTACAAAACTTAGCTGCTTAGAGGTGGAGAAAAATTGCTCATAAATTGAAAATTAATTAATTGATAATTATAATAATAATTATGAATTACAAATGGATTACTACTGAATCAAATTATGCCAGCTATCATAGTCATTGATTATTTAGCCATAACCATTTGAATAAATATTTTGTAATAAGAAAAAAAAATTATATTCAGCAGAGATTTAAAATATTTATTTTTAGTAAAAACTACCTATAAATTTCAACTTAATGTAAAAAATCAGCTTTGTTTTGTACTGAAACTTAATTTCTTTAAAAAAAATCATGCCTTTTTTAACTATTACAAAAATTTCACAGTATCTCAGATATTATGTTTAGCTGCCAAATTTGGTTGTATTTGATCTATTAGTCATTTTTATCTTGAATAATACTAATTAAACTAAATCCACTAATCTAATACTAAATTCACTATTGTTATAATTATTCATCATTGGTATTAGTTGAATTTAATTGCTCAAAATTCTATAAGAATGTAATGATTCTGATGATACTTGGAATAGATTTTGCTTATATATATGTACATTATATTAAGTATGCTTTTATTTTTCAGAAATACTTGGAAATTTGCATAACGGATGTCGAAGCTTTAATCGCCTCTAACATAGCACAACTTAATCAAGCCATATCAAAAGCAACCACTTCAGCAACACTTAACAATAACTTGAGTTGTTCAGTAACTGCTAATGGAACAAAATCGCAAATTGAAACCACTGCAGAGATGTCAGATGTTATATATTAATTTTTCTTTTTTTTATGAAAGAAGATATTAACTTGATATGTTAAATGAAATCCAAACATCTACAGAGTTATATTTCAGTTGAAAAGTATTTAGAGAACTAAATTTTAACAAGTTGAAAATGTTTTATGTTAAATGTTTATTCGAACAAAATTATGTAAAAAATGTATAAGATTTTATAACTGTTTGTATTAGTTTAAATATGTAAACCCTGTGTGTTGCACGTTTGAAAAATTATACCAAAGTCATTATTTGATCTCTTAAAAATTGTTTTTAATTTTACATTTTGGTCAATGATGTTTATTTATTTTGATAGTGCATTCCATTTTTTGTTATTTCTAGTCTATTTGTGTATTTCAAATACATTTATTTATTTATTTTTAGATTTTATATCTGTTTATTACACTACAGCTATTATTACCAAAAAGATATACTTAAAAAAAATTATGGAAAAAACATACAAATATATTTATAAGAAGGAAATTATATTGTCGCTCTGATTTTCTCAAAACAATTTTATTAATTTGCAACATTTCTTGTTAGATGTAATTTTGATTTCATATTGTAACAAAGCAATTTTGTTTTAATTTAACCTTTTCTGATTGCTCACTAGAGTGTTGTTTGCAAATAAGATTAATTTACACACATTTGAAAACAGTAAGATGATTCTATGCATTATATTAACAAGTAGAAATTAAAGAAACTTGCATTGTATCTTAACTTAGGCCACATTTTTACATCAAACTGTTTTTTAGTACTATCTTTTTAGTGCCTCAAGTCTCTCATTTTTTAAACAATATAATGCTGACAGTTAAAAAACTACTTTATTTTAACTGAAAATGTAGCTGGATAATCAAACTGCCTCATCTCATTATTGTAAATAGCACATTTATGTGAAATCACTTTAATTTTATATGTGATGCAAATCCATTTCTACTATGTCTTTCTAAAATGATTATTTTTATACTGCTACCTATGTATAGATTTTGTAAATAAAATGTTTCATGTTCTAACACTTTTTGTCTTTTTAATAAGAAAAAACTGAGTAATAGCATCCCATTTTAAATAATGAAATTTAAAATTTAGGGAAGATTTTGAAATCAATAAATAATGCATATTGTGCTTTTAAGTTAAGAAGTCATAAATAGTTATTATTTTTTTTTTTTAAATTTCAATGCAAAACTTTTTTTTTTTGCTTATTGTGATGTTATCTTAAACTGTATATTGAGGTTAGAAAGAAACTAAACTTTCATAAGAATGAGAAAAATTATATATTTTACATAAATTAAAGGAAAATGTTTATAATTTACAAAAATATTTTTATACATCAAATTTTTCCAAGCAATATGGTAAACCATGTTCTTCATACTGCTTTCGTGTAACTATGAGTTTGGCAAATTCAGGGTCGCTTGAAAGCTGTGCTCCGCCTTCCCATGCATATGTTACAGGACTGTAAAATCATAAATATATTTCAATAGTAATATTATATATTTTTCATACAACATTATTAGCAAAAGAGCATATAAAAAATTTTCTATAAATTCAGCAACTTTATGTTATTAGGTTAAATTTTGGAAATTCTGTTGTAAGTTGGAACTGTCCAAACTTATCAATCCCAAGCTTTAAGGCAGTAAGTTTATTTATATATAAGCATACATAAAGAGTTTGTGTTGTGTTATTAGTTAACAATAGCACTTACAACAAACTTTAAGTAACAGTACATAGTTGTGTACTTCAGAATCAAATATATATATTTTTTTTAATAGATTTTTTGAATACTTTCCATAAGATAAACAACAGATCATTGTTACAGTTTAAATTTAGGTTTTTATATCTGATTGTTAAAAAACTGCAGTGAAAAATATAAATATTTAATCAATCACCAATTTTTCAGGTTAAGATATTTTTGCGTTTATATTTAAAAAAATTTTTACTGCATTTTATTATAAAGTCGAACTCTTTGATAACAAACCCTGATTTACTGGAAACGCAGATTTAACAAGGAAATCATAAATATTGGGTTGGTACACTGTTGAGTACATTGGTGCAAATCTTGGTTTCAGAAAGCAATATTGTGATTCATAAGATTTCTTCATACTTCTACATTTTCAGCTAAGTTAATCCCTTTTTAGAAAATTTTGTTTAACATTTTGAAGACAACTGAAAGTTAGAGGTAAGTCGTAAATCTAGAAAAAACTTGAACTTTTTTAAAATCACAGTTGCAAATGGCAATGGTTTTTTTTTTGGGCCACGATTCTTTCCGATGAATAATAACACAAAAATGAGACACTAAGACAATTCAAAGCAAATTAACTAACTGTTCAAAAATGTAATGAATACAATATTTTTCACCAGTACTTGGTTGTAACGAGCAAATATTGCGCTCTTTTTGCACTTACTATAAGCAAGTTTGATTTACATTAAATTTTTTTATAAATTTAACTTCGCAATTTTTTTTCTATAGTAAACCATTTGTTATAACAGGGAATGGTAAAATTTCAACTCCCTTCTTCCCAATTGCATTGTACATTATTGTTTTAAGGCAAAAGTTTTCAAATTTACAGTTAAGAATTTTAGACAAAGAGACACAAAATGGTGATTTTGGAGCAATCAAACTTAACACGTAGATACGCAAGTCCACAAAGGAGGCAAGTTGGCTGTCATACATTTAAATACATATGTATTACATGAATCATAACTCAAAAATAGGTTTTTATCAAAGTATTTCCGAAATTATTCACTTATGCTGTTTTAAAATCAGCAATAAAAAAATTTAACTCAATGAGAAAAAGAATAAAGTGATAAGCATTAAGTGTAATGCTCATTTTAGTTTACTTAACAACTGAAACTAAAATGAGAAGTTAGCTTATCCAAGATATATCTTAAGGACGATTGTTTTCTTTTATAATTTTTAAAAAAAAGCAGATTTTATTTAAGATACTGATCTATTCTAACAAATTGATACAGCAAGTATTATATACACAACTTAATATATTTTATTAATTAAAATTAATAGATTTATTAACAAATTTGATGTAAAAAATATTAAAAATCAAAATTTAAAAAAAAAATTCTTTTTAATTTCCAACTTATCTTTTTATTATGATCAAATAGATATTTGCCAGACACATAAAGTTACTTGCTAGACTACAAAATTTAATAACAGGAGTAAATTCTTCTCAATTCCTTTTTAACTTGTTAATGATTTATTAATAAATTTGATATAAATAGATACAAAAAAAATATTTCGAAATCAAATTTTTTTTTTTTAATTTTCTAACATATCTTTTTATTATGATCAAATAACAGGAGAAAATTCTTCTCAATTTCTTTTTAACATGCTAATGTTTTAAAGGGCCGTAGAGCTACAGAAGAGCAAACAAAATTTTTAAATGATGAGATTGCAAAACAACAGGAATAAATGAAAAAATAGATTAGTTATCAGGGGTCTGTCCAGGCCGAATTTACTACCGTTTAGCTGTACCTTCACAAATTCAACTTTAGGAAAAACGGTAGTTTCACAAATTTCAACTTTAGGAAAAACTGCAGTTTCACAAAATGCTTTTTTTTTTAAATTTTAATTTTGTATCCCTTAAGAAACAATAAATCCATATTTTTGTGTTGATTTTTTTAATATAATTTAATTTTTCACAAATTATGTCTAAATTTTCACAAAATAGGTATCTCTCAGAAAAACCTAGACAGACCCCTGGCTATAGAACTTTTCCCTCAAATACTAGGTAATGTTTCTCCAATTTTAAATTCACATAAAATGCCAAAACTTACTTTTCAGCTGCTGTAACATTTACATCTAATAGGTGATGAGCCTCAGATCTAACATCATTATAACTAAAAAAAATAAATCATTAAAAATAGGAAATTTAAGATAAAAATAGAATAAATTATATAGATTGAATGTTTCAATTTTTCTTTTTCTAGAAATATATCTAATATTTTTCTATTTATTTAAGGATATTGAATTACACAAGTAAAATTAAATACTTACACCCGTTCTTTAAAACCAGGAAAACTAGCATTTCCTCCAGTAACTAATATATTTTTATACAAATGTGGTTGGACATCTGAAATGAGGTAAATAAAAATATGAAGTAAGGTTACCAAGTTAATTTAAGTAAGTAAGATGGCAACAAGAAATTATGTTGTGATACATTAATTTTTCTTATAACAACATTAAACATTCATAAAAATTTCTTATTAAGTGTTCTTCATTTTATAAGTAATTACTTTATGGATTTTGCATTAGAAACAAAACATTTAAAAACATAACTTGGTAGTAAGTTTGATTATAAATGTAATAAGACAGAACTTTGAAGATTGAATTATTCTGGAAATATTTTTTATACATTCCTTATTCTGAATGAGTAATACATCTTTTTAATTATGGTGAAGGTTATTTCAATTTTTTTTTTTTTAAGTTCTTATTTGAATGTAATAAAATAGACTGAAATTTTATTAACCAAAAGTCAGAATTCTAAAAAGAAAAAAAAAAGTTTTTTATACCTTGATTTATGTTGTTTCAGAAATTAATGTTTTCCTTTTAAAGTTATGTAGTTAAATTGGCATCAAATTCAATTAGAATAATAATGCAACATTTAATAAACTCAAGGCATTTTATCTTTTTATCATTCTTTAGGAGTTACAAAACTTGTATTAAAATTTTAATTCCTATTTTATTGCTATCATTATAATGCAGTAGGGCCATATCATTTATGTTTTTTTTATTTTTTTATCCAGAATTGGTTTCAATCACTGATTAAATGAACTTGTAAAAATATTAATTTTTGTTACATAAATTACCACAATACCTTACCGTATTAATTATTTATTATAAATTTTGTTATTTAATCATACAAATTTTGTTATTTACTTGTACTAATAAGATAATTTTTGAATTTAAAAATTTCTTTTTATAAATCCTTTTATTGTTCTAAATTGAAAAACACATCGAAAATGTAAAATTATCACATACTAGTTTTTTTCTGTTCCCAGATTTCTTTTCTTTTTTTATTTATTTGTTAATATTATGATTAAGAATAAGAGCTAAAACTTTTCTTTGTATTTTATTCTTTGCATTAAGAGAAGCTTATTTAATTTGCAATATTTTATACTTTTTTAATAAAATGTTGACTAAATCAAATGTTTTAGACAATACTTAACTGTGCGTTATAAAAAGCTGAATTTAATCTTTTAAAAAAAATCACATTAAAAATAAGTAAATTATTATTTAAAACTAAGTAATAAAATAATCGAAAATAATTCCTTTTAAAATGGATTCTAATGACTTTTCCATTATATTTTTTGAAAATGAAGTTACCTTTTTTTGTTTCACATTATAAAATATGAGAATTTTTCATAATAACCACCATTTACATACATTTCGAAAATCCCCATGAAAACATGAAGTTTAAATAAAAAACTGTGCATATTTAAGTAACAATAATTATTCAAGATGTGGCTGATCATTGCTGAGATTAGATGTAGCAATGGAAGAATTAAAATCAACAAAAACTACTTTATTTGTCAAGTGGAAATTGAAATCATTTGCCTATTATTTGAGACCACTTTGACCCTTCATCTTCAAATTGGTTTAAGATAATTCGCATCACACATTTACTCTTTTTTACCTTAATAATAATTGGTCAGAGTTTGAAAACACTTTTTTCTTCACATAAATATTTATTTATGACCATTAACATGCAAATTTTTTTTTTTTTACAGAAATTCTAAAAACTTATGTTGAGGGTGGCTGTTATGAAATATCCCGTATATACATTTACACTTTGTACTAAGATTGGAATCAAAATATTTATTTTAACTGGTAATTAAACTAACCTTCTGGGGTCGCTTCAATACAATGAATTATTGCTTCTGAAATCCCCATTTCATCAATATTTACATCAGATGGATTAAAGAGAACTTCTGGTACCATAAAACGCTCATTGTTCATTCTGATCAACTAAAAGAATCATAATATTAGAATCATAAAACTGACAATGTCTTTTAGTGTAGCTCAAACACATACTAAATTATAAATGCATTAACCATAAGATTTTGAATAAATTGTTCAAAAGTAATATAACATGTGGCTGAATGGTAGAGATGTTTTGTCAAATTGCAGGAGATTAGTGCTTTATTTCTTTTTAAATCAATATCCAGCTTAATCATTATAAATGAAACTTTTATAAAATTTGAAGAGCAAAGTAAAAACGAATGAAACTATTTTGATTAGACTGTCATTTTTATTATTTAATTTTTCTTAATCTCAATCTTGTTCATGTATTTAGTGTAGTTGCAAATGCATAATATTTGGCACAGTTTCAAATGCTTTAATTTTGTTTAAACACGAAAAAAGTGTCCAAAGAAAGGAAAATTTATATAAACAAAAAAAGTATGTGAAACATATTTATAAATATGCAAATAATTAATTAACACTTAAAGCATTAAAACTATCATGTGGGTATATAAAGATTTTCAATAATTCTCTGAAAAAATAAATTTAATTTCACTTCAAATTGTGATAATTTAATATTTCATGGTCTAAATGTAATTAATAAGTTTTGATAACTAAATTTTAGAAAATGTAACAATGTTTAGTTTAAAATTTAGTTATTAAATAATTAAAAAAATATATTTATTTTTGAATAGAAAAGTACATGTTTAAACTAAAATAAAAATGAAATAATCTATAATAAAAATAAAATAATCTATAATTTTACAAAAATGTTTAAACACACAATCAGACAAAATAAACATTTTATTGAATTAGAAAAAGAATTGAACAAGGGTTAAAAAAAATAACCATAGCATTTTGATATGAAATGGATTTAAAAACTAAAATATTATTTTGTCTTTAATTATATGTTTGTTAGAAATTACTTCCTTTAAAATGCAATAAAATAATTTAAAAAAATATAATTCATAGATTAATACGTCATTAATAATCATAAAGTGTGTCTGGTATCTATTTTAAATTCGATCAGGCCATTTAAAATTATAATCATTTTATCAAGACATCATAAAAGGAAAAAATATTTCTTATTGTTCATAAAATATTATCATAAAAACTAATTCATAAATTGCTATTTAATAAATGTATTAAAGAAATGAAATTAGATCATATTAATTACCTAATTTAATTAATAATTTAAACATAAAACCTAAAGCTTTCATCAACGTTGCATTGAATTCTTTCAGTTTAATTTGATTGTCATTTTTTTTAAAACTTATTAACTTTGGTAGAATAAGTTAATTTTTATCAGGAAAATTTGTTAATTATTAATTTTTAAAGATCAGCACAACAGCTTCTTTAAATGGAAGAGCATAATAATAGGATGAATTGTCATGTCACTAAGTCATACCTAAAAGAAACATGATTATATGGTATGGCAATATATAATGACATGAACAGTCATGCCATCATAGATATAATTATATAAACAATAATTTTTTACACTTTTAAAAAACTAGTTTATTTAAATTAATACTAAATATAAAGTTTCTTAAGCAGAAAAAGCAAAATAGGCATACATACACAGCAGAAAGACTTAAAACATACACAATAGAGACAACTTAATAAGACAAATGTAAGCCCACGGTTCTTAGAACATGTTTCGTAAGAGGATTACAGGGGTTTGTTTCAAGAGTTAGAACTTTTTTAATCAGTATTAATTACATTGATATCCAATCAATAACCCAGTAAAAAATTTTAAAAAATATCAAAAACAATACATAGAATAATTAATGAAAAGATAAATGAAAGAATAATTTTCTTTTTCTTGACATTGCTCTTAATAAGCACTTTTTACAATGCCAGAGTTCTAACGAAAGAAACCTGAACTTTTAGGGTTGCATACATGAAAAAAATTGGGGACCACTGATGTAAGTATACATAGATGAAAAATAAAAACCTTATTTAAAATGGAAAATAATGAGCATATCACTCTAATTAACACAAAAAGATTGCTATTACTTTTAAATAAAACAAACAAAATCTCTTCCCAAAAGGCGATCATAACAATTTATAAGATTTAATGAATGGGAAAATATTTTTAGATTAATATGCTTTTTTATTTACCTGCTCGTTTTCTTTTGGTTTGCCAGTTGTTTCCTCTAACGGTCTAACGTAGCCTCTTCGAATGACAGTATAGTCTGGTAGCACATAATCTCTAACAATTGTGTTTTGTTTACCTCTTAACCTAAACAATTATGAATGAGATTTTAACAGGTATCATTTACTCTAACATCAGAAATCAATAAGAAATTCTTATCTATGATGATAGATAAAAAAACTATTTATATCATGATAGATAAAAAAAACCATTTTTATCTATCATGATAGATAAAAATAGTTTCATAACAGTTCAGTTAAAATAGTTTTATAACAGTTTAATTAAAATAGTTTTATAACAGTTTAGATGAACATGATGCTAAGAATTGGTAATCGTATTATCATCATGATAGCAAAATCTTAGCTTCAAGTAAAGAATATTTTCCATTGTTGACGTTGCTTTAAGATCATAAAATTATAATTTACTTAATGAATTATACAAATATACATACTTAGCTACTTTCATATCATTCCAAAAATCTGTCGAAACATAGCAAACGTCCTCTTTCACTTGATTCATTACAAATGTTTCATCCATTACATTTAATTGTCGATATGATGTAATTTCTTTCAGGTGATTTGTTAAAATTTTCCCTCCAACATCTATTCTAAAAGAGTAACATAGGTTTTAAGTCTATAAAAGTTACAAAAAAGTAATAATAGGTCTAGAAAATCTATAAAAAATACAAAATTCTATAAAAAATTTAAAAAATAAATTATTAAGACAAACAGAAAGAACACTCTGTGGATTTATGCCCATTGACAGAAGAATCATGTGTATGTAAGCGTCTCGTTAGCGGGAATTAGCAAAACTTTCAAAATTTGAATTTTAGATGGAGGAATTTCGTGAAAATTTTGTCAGATTTCAAGTTTTTGATTAGCGAAATTTCGAGAACCAATGGTCTTGAGAAACGAGGAATTCCGCAATATTTCCAGAAAAATCATCATATGCCCTGCACTGCTAATTTTTAGATCCCGAAGGATAATACGAAAAAAACGAAATTCCGGGATACCTCCCGAATACAATTACCCTTGCATGAATTGAATGTGGTAAAAAGCTATTACTAAATTTTAAAATTTGTTCGTCTTAATAGCATTGAATGTAAAAATAAAGGAATTTTTTAAAAAAAACTATGTGAAAGGGATAGTAAATGATAAAAAATTTCCAAAAAAACAACCATCCAAAGAAGTGCTATTACAATGGCATCACCGCGAATTGGACGCTTAAAAAAGTAACAGCTAATACTCTAAATTCAAAGGTCCTAAAAACGTATTAAATATATCGGAATTTGAAAACGCCATACAGTAACAAACAAAAACGATGAATTACTGCTGAAAAAAAGGAATGGAAAATTTAGGACCACTTGGAAGAAATATGGGAGAAAACTTGCATCATTCTTAATGAAGCTTAGCTTACGGATTGAAGCATTCATTGATCACTTGTTTTTTAAAACTTTTCCCTGTTTTACTAAAATTTCTGAGAAATTCCTTGATATTTCCAGAATCAATAAATTCTCTGATAATTTCTGGTTTTCCTAGAGCTGGACACCCTGTATGAAAAACTGGGGATCGATTTCCTGTGGTGGCTTGAAGCCCACTCAGTTTCAGATCAATGAGAACCAACTTATTCAGGAAGTAAAGATGGCTTACATGCAATACTGATCTCATTGGCACAATCATGCCATTGGTCACAAATTGAGCTGTTGTGGGTATACTTAACTCAATCGCAAAAAAAATAGAGAAAGTTTTAATAGTCCAGTATATTTTTGGTTCAAAATACTGAAAAACTGAATTATTTTGTGATCATAAATTATGAAATAGTTTAAATTGATGAAGAATAGTACATTAAAGAATAAAGATATCAAAAGAAACAAAACAAAAATAATTGTTATACAAATATGATCAACTGTTACAATATATTTTTCATCAAATAAGAAATTTTAAAATAAATGCTATATAATTAATTAAATATTTTTTAAGGAGAAATTAAATAATTGATATACAATAGAAAATTATGTAAAAAAAAAAATACTGTAAGAAAACACGTGACAAAAACATTTAATCAATTGCATTTTTGTTCAACAAAAATTATAAAATGGGTGACAATAGCTATAGGGTGACCCGGGGTAATTCACGATCACTCTGTTTCTGGAGTAAATAATGATCACCTAAGTTTTATTTAAAAAAAAAAAAATTTTTTTAAATTTAAGACATGGACAAGAATGCTTGTACACTTTACTAGAGTATAACTACATTTACTTAATAATAATTTTTTGTTTAATCTAACAAAATAAGTATCTTTTAAACTGCTTTCTGTATTTTCCATTTCAAAGATGGTTTCAAAATGTGCACATTTCTGCAAAGATCCCCCTCCTTCTCTTAATAATAAATATTTTGAGTCACTTTCTTTTTCTTTGATATAAAAGTAGTGTAAGCTTTTGTTTAATTGTCTCACATCTACTGTAAACATTAGAATTGATTATAGGAAACTATATCAAATGTTGCCCCCTACAGATGGGGTAATTATTGATCACTGGGGTAATTCCTGATCATTGTCATTTCCTCTTATAAATAGTATTATAGCTTATAAATACCTACTTGTCTTTTCTTAGATAACAGTTCATATTTATTAAGTGGAACAACTATAAAATGCATTTTAACTGTCATCACAAAATTTGTTTTTAACTGTATACAAGACTGTATTCTGATTTGTCTTACCTTGCTTCTATCTTAATTTTATGTGTGCATATCGTTAGAATAATTTTTAAGCTTATAAATTAGCCTAGTATAATTGTTAAGATAATTTTTAAGTTTATAAATTAGCCTAGTATAAATATGGTGAGAAATTATAAGCCTAAAAAGGATACTAAGCTTCTAGAAAACAAAATTAGTGAATTTCTTTCAATGATTGAAAATGAAAATTTCAGTGTGAGAGCTGTTGACATACCTTACTTAACTTTACACTTTCCCTTAATGAAGTTAAAAAATCCAGCAAAAGTAACCCATGTGGGAACTCTTTTATATTTCAGAAGAACATGAGAATGAGTTGGCTGATTGCCTAAAATGTATGGCACGATGCAAAGATTTTTGAAAATTTAAAGTGTTAATCGTTCTTCTTGCTTTTAAATAAATCATTTTATTAGCTGCTTAAACATATCTTTTTGGTTTATTTGTTTGATCTTGATGTCTTATTTTGTCTTATTTGTTAATTACCATTATATAATTATTTTTAAACAGCCCCTTTACAATAAAAACTGCTGATCAGTAATTACCCCAGAAGTGATCAGGAATTACCCCATAAATGATCAAGACCAGGGGTAATTCCTGATCACTAAAAACTTTAAATCTTTTAAATTCTAATTAGATTTTCAAACAAAAGAAGGTGGCATTGGTCTCATCTCATATAGCCTCAAACTTCCAGTAAATATTAAAATTCTATTTTGAATAGTTTTTTCACAAAACAGATGTTTGCGTTTTTTGATCAGGAATTACCCCAGGTCACCCTACTTATTCAATTTAATTTTGTTTCTTAAGAGAATAAAAATAATCAATCAAAAATACTAATGAAACAAGAATTCCGGTGTGAAAATACTAATGACACTAATAAAATAAGTTATGCTTAACTTTTCTGAAAATTTAGTACATTAATTAATTATATAGCCAAAACATTTTGAAAGTTAGATTAATATAATTAACTTCTCACTTTATTATTATATATTTTATACAAAAATTTTAAGAAATTTAGGAAACTTTTAATTTAACTTAGTTTTGAAATAAATACAAACAGGTTGTCAAAAATGTGAATTTTTCTTATCAGTTTTATTGCAGCTTTGATTAAAATTATTTTTAAAAAATAAAATTAAAAAAACTTTTTTTTATGATGAATGATTTGTTTATTCTACCCTTCTATTTTTTTAAAATTATTTTACTAAAAGCACTAATTTACTTGCACAAATATGAATATGACTGCATAAAGCCATATTGAAAATAAAAATGAGCTTTTCTAACCTGTCCTGTTTATCGAAAATAGACAGAGCTTTGAACAGACAAAACCAAGAATAACAAAACAAGAAGAAAACAAGAGAACACAAGACTTTTGTAGCAAAGCTAGAAGGCTAGATAACTTTATTTTCTATGAATTAATCGATAAAATTAAACAATGTAACATTCTGTTTGTCTTTAGAGCTGGCAAAATGTAACATAGTGCTTTTTTTATTATTTAAATAGACTCTGATTTTACTTTTTAAGTCATTCAATTTGTAGCTTTGTAAAAATCCAACTATCTCTGTATGACTTTTAGAAGCTTCAAACTTCATAACATAATGAAAAAAAAATTTAGAAATTGCAACATTGCTTAAATGTTAACAAATATAGAAAATATTCTTAAGGTCTAAAAGAAGTAAAAAAAATTATTATCCAGGCTGAGATATTTTATGGTAATTAAGAGACACCCATAAAATTCATATACAATTAATTTAATAATTTACATGAATAAACTATCTATGCACAAATGTTACTTTGATTCTGATGATAAGAAATAAAAACTACTATCAGCATTAGTACCACATGTTATGCTAATTTTAAATCTCACAACATACATAAATTCATACAATTAAATTAATATGCTTTTCTTTTTGTGAAAGCTAACACAGGAGATTAAATTAATATCAAAAGCATATTTAATGATACACTTTTGAAGACTGATTTCATAAATTTATATTTTGGTCATTTACAATTAAAAAGAAAATATATATCTGAAGTTGTTGGAATGAATTGTCACAAAACATTAAAAAAATTAAAATAAAATTAATTCAAACATTAATAAATATTTTAAAAAATATTTTACTAGAGCAATCATAAAAAAATCTTTTTAACAGCTTTAAAAAATATTTCAACTTACCTACGAGTTGCATTCTTTAGTTTTTTACCTTTGATGTAGGGAATAATATGAGTAAAAGAAAACCCTGAATCTACTACCAAACAACACATTTCAGTCGGTGCTTCCTTCTGACGTTTGTAAGCAGACAGTGTCCCAGCTAAAAAAGAATAATACCAAGTTATATAATATATAAACAGTGTTGTAGTGCTAACAAAATTTACTGAGACACAAATCACAACACCATGAGGTAGAATCTAAAATTATCATATAATTTTTTATCAACAATTAACTAAACATCTTGAAACAATCAAAGTTTTATTTACTAAAGTTTTTTTTTTTTATTTCCTTGTAGTCTATAATTTTTTTTTCGTGTACCAAAAAAACAATCCTAAATATTTATACTAAAATTTTGCATTCTTAAAAATCAATTTATAATATGCAGGAGATTACAGATTTATGAGACATTTATTACTAATAAATTGAATAGCTGAAAATAATTTTAAAAAATTCCATACTGAGTTATAGTTTTCTGCTCTATCAACCAATATTCTTAGCAACAGTTCGGAAGGAACAAAATTTCATAGCCACATTTAAAAAATTAAAAATGTAGGGTTAATAGATAACTAATTTTACAATAGATTAACTTTCTTAATCTAAATAGCACATTTGTGAAGTTAGCCTGCAATAGGTAAGTAATTATGAATGAGAATATACTAAAACTTTTTAATTAAAAAAAATGATAAAAGTTTAAGTTAAAGATAGTAGTGTGTTAATTTAAGGTCAGGAATACGTGTTAATTTAAGGTCAAAATGATGCCCCACCATACTAAAAAGTATCGGTGAGTTGTACTCCGTTTCTTGCCTTACAATATTCCTGCATATAAAGAATAAGACTAAAAAATCAACATAAAATTAAGAAATCCATAGAGATCCTTAAGTATAGAATTGTATAAAGATATGAAACAGCAAAAACAAGCAATAACTGTTATACACCCCTTCCATCCCTAATGTGACATTGGGATGGAACATTAGTATGTGACATTGGTTATTAAGAAAGAAAGAGACTGGTAATGATGTAGTAGAAGGAGTAAGTTCTGTGATTCCTGAAAGTGAATGCCATTGAAATTATTATTTATATTGAAAATAATACTGAATGTTGATTTTTTTTAATATCCAGAAATTGGCTCATGTGTGCAAGCAATCAGCTAAACATTTTAATATAAATAATATTTTTAATATCTAATTTGTATGAATGATAAAAATCAAAAGCTTTATTTGAAATTAATATATTTTTCTTTTTCATACGCTACTACAAACAAATCTTACAGTTGAATCATTAATTCAACTATTATTTAAAAGAGTTTCCATTTATTTATTATTATATGTTCTATAATACTTAATACTAATGACATGTAAATATTACAGTGTATTTTGTGTATCAGTCAATAATTTTTGGTACTTTTCTAAGGCCAGGTTAGTGAAGTCACCTAGTTAACAGAAAAGCACCAAAATTTACACTAGCAGGCTTCGTAGTGGACCAAAGAAAAAATCAGGACAATTTCAGGAACAGCAGACATACATATTCCAGACACTTTTAAGAAAGAAAAATAACTAACTTAAAAAAAGTAAAATTTGCTCCTTATAAGTATAGTAAAGACACATTTTATTTCAAAAAAATAATAAAACATACATTTTTATATTTCAGATTTACTTTGTTACAAACAGAGAGTTTAGGGTGTGAATAATCTCAAAACGAAAACGCTGTAAATATGCTACTTAACATTTCTTTTACTTCTAACTATCACAAAAGAAGAAACAGCTAACTTACGATTAGTTCTTAAAATTGAGTGAAACTTATACTCTTCTAGTAGTATTTCTGTCATACTTTCTTGCATCGAAACAAAATTAAAGTAAGGTTCAGTAGCAATTAAACATGTCTCCTTGAAATCAACCTATAATAAAATATATATTTAATTAAAATTGTAAAATTATTGTTTAAAAATTTATGGATTTTATGAAACAATATTAAAACAGATATTTACATTGTAAAAATCACTGCCAAAAATATGATCCCAGACTTGCTTTTCTATTTCCCAATTCACAATATATCCCTATGAAAGAAATAAAACAGTTTAAAGAAATGTTCTTTGATTATGCTTATCAGGACAAAATAAAAAAATTCGTGATACATTTGAAGTAACATGTAAGTACATGCATTAGAATTAGCTTCAGTTGCATATTATATTCATACACACACCTCAATAATACTTAACTTATTTTAGCTAATTATCTCCGTTAAGAATAATTGTTTTAAGGTTGCTTTTTTTGAAAAATAAATAAATATAAATAATATTTTTAAATATATTTTCAGTCATTTTTTAAATAGTTGTGCAATAAAATTTTTTCCTCAGTATATATTTTATTTTAATGACTTAAGTTTATTAGTTTGTTTAAATTTGTACACACATTAAATGATATTCATGCAAAATCTTGTCAACCAAGGAAGTTGGCATGAATTCTATCAGATCATTTTATATTATAACAAGTGCATATTTCTGGGAATTATAACAAAAAGGTAAATTTTTTGCAATTAATGTGTTAGAACATACAATTTAAAAAATCTGTAGAACATTTTATTTGCAAGAGTACTTAAACAAAAAAGTCTTGATTTTAGCGGAAATGGTTGATAGGTTTAACACAAGTACCAAAAAAATCTATTATATATAATTCTCTTACGTGGCTCCCAGATTTGGGCTGTATTTCTCTTCCGCCGGTGGCAACGTTTGCTTTGTTTTGAAAACACCAAAGCATTCTGCCTTTTAATGATGTGTTTCTGATCTAATATATATAATTCTCTTACGTGGCTCCCAAATTTTGGCTGAAGTACTTTGTACAACTAAATAAGATTCTTTTTGCAACACTTAAATATTTACTTTATTTTCTTCATTCATAGAGAAAACAGTCGGCAAAGAATTCTGTTAGGTTAAAAAACATTCCGCTAAAAAAAATAATGAATTCTGAAAGAAATAAAAATAAACAACTTAAAAAATAAAAATGCTGTTGCCAGCCATAGAATTTTTTGAAAGTTAACTTAGCAGCATAAATAAAAATGACATAGAAGCGCAACTAGATCAAAATTATGATAACTGAGCGCTTGACGTAACAAATCCTACAATTCTAAAAGTGTTGTATTGCCAAATGCCCAAATAAACAATTGTGTTCTTAAAGAAATTCGATAAAAAGTTTTAAATAAACAATCTACTTCTACAACTACTTCTTGAAGAACTTGGCTCATTGATTAAAAATATTGTTTTAATTTTACAGTACTAACTTTACTTCTACTTACATTATTGCTATGACCCTCTTTCATTGCATTTTACGACTTCATGCTAAATTTGAGGTTTGGTAAAGGTAAGTTGTTTTGTGGTTGAATACTGACATTTAGAAATGTGTACATAAAAAAAAAATATTTAGAGGTTAAGAGTTGCATCAGAAAGATTTGAATTGTTGACATTGAACTTAACAATGGAAACAATCGTTTTTGTGAAAAATTGAATTGTATTGTTGACATCAAAACTAAAAATATTGTGCTTCAACTTAACAATACTACCTTAAGTTATACTTTAGAATTGCCTCGGAGAAATTTGAATTGTTAGCAATAACTTAAACAAAAAGTTTTATTTTAACTGACAAATCCTATATTATAATTTTAACTTTTTCTATGACTATACTCATTTTCTTACTCTTTTCTTTGTTTTTTTTATACATTTTATTTTTTTGTGATAAAATAAAAAAACTTATTGTTCTGCTTCTGAACACTGATGAAAACACAAAAGGATGGGCTTCATCAATAATCAAAAAGATATACATTTATTTTACAAATTCCATATTATTAAGGTGGCGCCCTTCAGAGAATTAAAAATACAAAATTATCTTCATCAAAGCCGATGCTTTACATCCGGCGTTCAGTGGCAGACTACTATTTCATATTGTTTTACAACACATGGCTTTAGCTCTCTGGTGGGAAAGACTTTAAAACAAAACTTACAACAGTTACTTTTCTCAACAACTGAAATTTAGAATAGTGTGATTTAGAAAAATATGTGAACTGCTTGCAATTTCAAATTAATATTGAAATGTACAGGTTTAGAATTTTCTACAGTGAAAAGTTTTCGGAACTTCAGTATTCAAAGAAGTATACAAAAACTAGACGTTAAGAACGTATCCAATGAGCGAGCAAAGCGAGCATTGGATTGCGAAGCAATCCGAAATGAACTGTGGAAGCAGTTCCGGGGGTTGGTGAGCGCCAGCGAGCAGAGGGCGAAGCCTCCTAGTATATTAGAATTGTTCATAAAAAAATGTTTTTCTTTCTTTTTCATGACAGGTGAACTTTAAAATGTCTATAAGACTGTTTTCAAGGTGCTGATCTGCAAATATAAAGGATTAGGATTCGATTCCTAGACCAGTTTAAAGCCCACTCAGCTTTGGAATTAATATTATGAACCTGTTACTCTAGCTAAGTAACACAAAAATTAAATGAAAAGATTATAAAACAAAATTACTTTTTTTTTTTTTACAAGAAGCTAAAATGATATTTCAAGAGACACAGACATATAATACCAACAGGGAGCGTAGCCAAACATTTCAACAAAAAAAAGCACATTTTAAGGACTCAAAAAATATTTTTAAGCACTATATACACTAAAAAAATGCAAAATAATTTTCAAATATTTTACATGATCATAACAAAATGACTAGTTTCTAACACAGAACTCTCTTTTTGATTATATTAGCCACCATAAATAGATAGAAAGATTTTTTGATTCGATTTCAGAGGGTGGAAAATTATGCACGAAATTGAGAATCTCTTGCAAAATGCATTAGAGTTGCACATCAAAGTGCAAGAATCTCATCAAACCCAGCTCAGTATACGCACATATGGAAAATTTGTAAAAAATTTTCTCAAAATTCATATTTAAGCCTTTTTTGCGCATCGGAAGGAAAAGAGGTGCTCGTGATTTTTCGATTCTTTTTTGGAAAAATAAAAAATAATGAAGGGGAAAAAAATTGGTTTTTCTTTCTACCGAGATTTTCAAAAGATTTTTTTCCTCTAGAATTATTATGTAACAAAACTTTTACTTCATTTTTCAAAAGATTCCTTTCAGGTGAATTAGAAAGAAAAAAATTTAATAATGACTGGTTTCAGCTAGAATTTTAATTAGAAAATATAAGGGGGAAAAACAGAAATCGCTAAAGTTGTATAAATAGTTCCGTTCCAGAAATCATGTTCTTTTGTTCATACATTCTTTTTTTCAAGTACACCATATTTCACATTTTAATAAAATGTAACTGTGGGTGGGGATTTGTTACAAATTCAAATTTATAGTAAAATAATATCCTACTTTTTTTCTTAATTTGGTTGAAATAAAAGTGATACAATATTTTTTATAAAAATTACGCACATGAAAATTTTAAACCCCGCATTTGAGATTTTACTTTTTCGCTCACAACTTGTGGTGATAATTGCTCAGTTATTATTTATATTCTCATGAATTTTGTACCAATATTATCACTGAACGAGGAATTTGGTTGGCGAAGTCGAGAAATTACTCTTAGACTCGCTTGTTTTGCACTGATATTCACGTTAATCCAAGCGGTGTTTCAATCGTTCTCCCAACAATTATGGCAACAAATTTTCACATTTTTTAAAAAAAAATCTCGATGCTTTTTACACAATTTAATTTTAAGTGAAACTCAAATTAATTTACTTTTAATGTGACGATTTCATAATTTTTTTCGACTTTTTATTGCTAGTGCTACCGAATTCCACAGAGTTTTTAAAATTTCAGATATTTCTCAGTTAATATTATTTCCACACGTAAAATGTAAACTGCCCATTTAAGTAATCACTTTTTGCCGGTACAATCGAAAATCCATGTAGTGTTTCGATTGTATTTTCGGCAGTTATTGACATTGATTTTCAAGGTTTTTTTAAAAAATCTAGATATATTTGTGATAATAAATTTGAAAGGGAGATTAGGAGTGAAATGGGAAATTCGAATTACCCTTATGAATATTTAATTTAAAGCAATGATCCTATCGATTTTTTTTAAAGGGGGAATTTATTTCCAAACAATTTTTAAAATCCCTTATTTTTAATAGGGTGACCTGGGGTAATTATTGATCAAAAAATGCAAACATCTATTTTGTGAAAAAACTATTCAAGATAGAATTTTAATATTTGCTGCAAGTTTGAAGCTATATGAGATGAGTCCTATTCTACCTTCTTTTGTTTGAAAATCTAATTAGAATTTAAAAGATCTTAAATTTTTAGTGATCAGGAATCACTCCTTCTCTTGATCATTTCCGGGGTAATTCTTGATCATTTCTGGGGTAATTACTGATCACCAGTTTTAATAGTAAATGGGCTGTTTAAAAATAATTATACAATGGTAATTAACAAATAAGACGTTAAGATCAAACAAATAAACCAAAAAGATATGTTTAAGCTGCTAATAAAACGTTTTATTTAAAAGCAGGAATAAAGATTAACTCTTCAGCTCTGGCAGCAGCTCTCATACTGAAATTTTCATTTTCAATCATTAAAAGAAATTCACTATTTTTGCTTTCTAGAAGCTTAGTATCCTTTTTAGGCTTATAATTTCTCACCATATTTATATTAGGTTAGTTTATCAACTTAAAAATTATTCTAACAATGTAGACACATAAAATTAAGATAGAAGCAAGATAAGACAAGCTAGAAATGGTGCATATCAGAGCACATTTGTCTTGTATACAGTTAAAAACAAATTTTGTGATTATAGTTAAAATATATTTTATAGTTGTTCCACTTAATAAATATGAACTGTTATTTAAGAAAAGAAAATTAACTATTTATTAGCTATTTTTTAAACTATTTATAAGAAGAAATGACAATGATCAGGAATTACCCCATTGATCAATAATTACCCCATCTGTAGGGGGCAACATTTGATATAGTTTCCTATAATCAATTATAATGTTTACAGTAGATGTGAAACAATTAAACAAAAGCTTACACTATTTTTATATCAAAGAAAACGAAAGTAACTCAAAATATTTATTATTAAGAGAAGGAGGGGGATCTTTGCAGAAATGTGCGCATTTTGGAACCCATCTTTGAAATGGAAAATATAGAGAGCAGTTTAAAAGATACTTATTTTGTTAGATTAAGCAAAAAACTATTATTAACTAAATGTAGTTATACTTTAGTAAAGTGTACAATCATTCTTGTCCATGTCTCAAATTTTAAAAAAAATAATTTTTTTAAAATAAAACTTAGATGATCATTATTTACCCCAGAAACAGAGTGATCGTGAATTACCCCGGGTCACCCTACGATATTATTTATTACAACAACCGAATCTCAAAGCAAAACATGCATTGAATGACTCCCTTTTTAAGAGTTGGATTCGTGTGATTTCGCCGTCAATCTCTTTTTTTTCGGTAGTTACTGCTACAGATTTCACAGTTTTTAATTTTTTTCTTTTTTTTGATGTAATGATGATTTACGAAATGCAATAAAAATAACTAGTGTTTTCCTCCCATAAAATGCGAAAATATTGCCCACGATCTTAGAATAAAAGAATATTACAAATTCAATTAAAATACTATATACAATTTTATTTTATCCAAATAGGGTTTTTTTGTTGTTGTTGCTGTAAACATGTTTCTGCTATTTTAGTATCTTGTAGAAAGATAACAGTGCTACACAGGTTTGTCACAGAAAGCCCAAAAAAATTATGCCACAGGGCTTTTCAGTAATGGTATTTATTTTTTTTTTAAAGTTTCTTGCAGGCTGTTGCTAAGAATTGGCGATTATTCTGCCACAGATCACAGTACAGAAATCTATCCAAATAAAAGACATCTTTAACAAACACAGAATATTAGTAAATCTTAAAATTTGCAAAAAAATAACAAAATAAGATAAATATCACAAATAATAGTAGATCTTGCTTAATAAGCCAGTTGTTAGAATGATATTCTAATAAAAAATAATTTGCACAAAAATAAAATTACTTCAAGAAAGGAAATTTATTCAACAAGAAAAAATACATAATATTTAAAATATTAGAAAGCATGGCTAAGTACATAGTATTTAAATCTTTCTTACTCTTTGAAATGGATAAATATAATAAAGACTTGAAAAATCTTTACATTCTTCTATTTGATTTCCTATGAATTGTCTTCTTCTTTCACTTTTAGCTTTCATTACACAATTTGGTATAATTCTGCAAAAGATAAGTTTAAATTTAATTTTAACATAAAAAAGCATAAAGTACACTTTATTTAAAAGCAGGCTTTGAATCTCTAAAATTTTAACCATGGACTTTCATCCAAAAAAAAAAGTAAAACAGCGTAAATTTTTCAATTAATTGGTAACCTTGGTTCAGAATCGTTTGCAAATCCTGCTTTAGCAGTAAAACCGCCATTGTCTAAAATAAAAACATTAGAAGCCATTTCTGACACCGACGGCATAATGATGATTATAAAGTTTACAACAATTATCACAGTTCAAATCATTCACTCAAGAAACATCATGGATTTAATTTCATGCGAGAAACTTTAAATGTTCAAATCATCTCTTATTAATTATTTTTGCACACTAGTTAAAACATTTATGAAGAAGTTTCTGTAGAAATGAGTAGAAAATTATACTAATAAACAACATTAAACTAATAAAGTAATACGAAAATTCTCTTCTTTTTAGAAACAGCGCAATACCGGGCTTCTTTTTATTTTCTTTGTTTACACTGCCTTTTCACGGTCATGGTGTTCGGTCATATTTTACTAATATATGTTGAATTTTTATTTTTAGCCTTAAAAATTATGTTAAAATTGAGAAGGCATAATATTTCTTTTTAGATAATTTTTAAAATTAAGAAACGATAGTTATAGCGATTTTTAATTATTTACATTATACATCATTTTAGAGATAAAGCACGGACCTTGACTATACAGATTTCTGCTATGACACCTCATTGGTTCATTTTAGTTTCACTTCCACTTCCTGTACCATGTGACGAAATTAGACTTGTTTTCGTTGTTTTCTATGGAGCATAAATGTAAACAGAGGTTTGTAGAGATGTCTGAAATATTTATTTCTAATCCAATTTACTTATATATTAGGAAACTGAAAATAGTATTAAACTCTTTATGAATTCCCTTTCCAATTAGCCTCAAAAATGTTTCTTGACACATTAATTTTTTATTATTTAATTCGTCTTTTAATTCTTGCTCTTGCAATAGTTTATGTTTATTAAATATATTTTTTTTTAAATGTTCTTGAATTTTTTAAACTTTCCCTTTGAAGCTCATCGTATTCTGTTTCCTTTTAAAAACACTTGTTATTTTAGATTGCTTTAGAGAAATTATAATATGGAATCAGGGTCATTGGCTTCTGAGTGTAATTATTAAACGCATTATGCAATACGCGTTTAATTGCAGTATAATTAAAAGCATATTTGCATCTCGTAAGCATGATAAATAGGATAGTATGAAAAACATGTTAGACTCTTTATAAATGCGTTATCCTATTAAAGTATAATTTTTTTGCCTAAATTCAGGCTGCGTAGCGTTTTTAAAAGGTGCTTATTTTAGTTTTTTAAAAGCTCTTAAAGGTGCTTTTTCCATTGGATGTTTTAAAAAAGTGCTTAATTTTTCCTTTTTCAAATATGAGATTTTCCCTTTACCGATTCCAATATTGTAAAAAGACACAGTTCACATTGTTCTATTCAACGTTTTCACAATTAATTCAACCCCAATATATTTTGGCGTATTGTCAGTCCGTTTTACATGATTCAAAATTTCAAAACAATGATTAAAAAACAATTCCAAAGAGTTTTTTTTTGACATGAGAGTTAAAACAAGATAAAATCGTCAATTGTCAAAAAATTTCCAACTCTGCCTAATTATGATATTCTTTTTAAAGTTCCTGAAAATATTTTTTGAATGCTTAAGAGGTGCTTATTTTTTGTTGAATAATTTGGCTACACACTCTGAAATTGTTCGCTTTGTGTTTCCATTCCTTCTGATAACGATATAGAAATACTTTTCTATTCCCTTAAAACTACTAGATTAAAATAGAAATATCATTAATCTTTTTTGAGATGGTGCTACTATGCAACTGCCATTTTTTACATGTATGAGGATATTACCTTTATTCTAATTAATGCATTCCTAATTTTTGTTAGCTATAGTATATGGGTATCCTTTAATTAATATATATTTTTAAAAAATATTCGTTTTATAAAATAAACAAAAAACACTTGTCTTTTAAATTAAAGTTAAGGATTCAAAAGATATTTCCTCATTATCAACTTAAGAATCATGGGTGTTCAATTTTTAAGGAGTATGAAATTAAAATACAACAAATACAATAGTTCTCTAAATTTCATATTTAAGAGAGTGAAAAAATTTTCTTCATCTGCTATATGTTTCTAAAATCATTAATTATAATTAAGACATATTTTAGGTTCCCCTCGAATGATTATAAGTTATACTTTTCAAGTTTGCTCCCTTCTGTGATGTTTTTATTTTTTTAAAGTTTCTTGTGAATTACTGCCTATTTGGGGCCAAAACTTACCAATTATTATATCCCAGATTCCAATACTGTAAACTTCACCTTATCTAAAATATTAGTGGAGAGAAACTTTTAAAGCTATCTAATTATTAAAAGAAATGTGCTCTCCATTAATGTGAGTGGGAAACTACGATTTTTAAATGCTTAAAAAAATTTTTATTCATTAATTTTGCAATGTCCATGTGCTGCATTTTTAGAAAGATGGCGGCCTGCCCTTTGATCCTTATAAATGTGCCTTATTTGAAAATCCTTTAAAAACACTGCCATTTTTTTCATATTCCAAGAAAAATTAATTAACTGTTAAAATAATAATTACACACAAAAATTATCTGTGTTTATAAGTTTAATTATTACTCTTACAAATATTCACCTTGTTAGGATTATTCTCAAATGGTTAGTTTCTCTTTTTTCAAAGGGGTATTTTAATAAATTTTTTTGATATATACCTTCTTTTTTTTAAGAAAGAAAATTCACCCCGTTATGTGTTCATTTTCTAATAATTTTCAGTGTAAATTATGGATAAATCTTATTAGCTGTTTATCAAAAAAAAAAATTTTCTAGGTTTTTTTTTTATTTTTTATGAATGTATGCACAGAAGAAATTTTTCTCGTATTTAAATAATGAGCTAAAATTACTTTATGAAACACACTCATAAAATAGTATAAGACGGTAACTTAAAAATTGTTAAGGATCAAATTCAGTTATTACATGATATTACACATTTTGATAAATTTTTAAGGTGTTAAGTGAGTGCCCTTTCAAAACTCTGTGCCCTTTTGTGTGAGGAAGCACCCTGCCCTTTTTTATTCCTAAGAAGAACTCTGGATTTTGTACAATATTTAAGACAATCATCACGAAATTTTATAATTAAAAAGATGAACCCTTTAAAATAAATCAAATATCTTATACCAGACTGCGTGACTGTTCTTTTAATTTTTAAAACAGCCAAGTTTGATTAACACCAGAAATTATAATATTCTATTCTATTCTAAAGAAATATTGAAAAAAGAGGGGTGCTAAACTTTAGGATTTAGGTGGCATAAGTTCACTCTGTAAAACCAAAATAGGGGTTTTTTCCCTCCATATTGGAAAATTTATGTAAAACATTTTCTTTGCTATGTGCCAAATTTAAAACAAATTACTATTATTAACATCCATATTGCCTATAAAAGATATCTTAAAAACATCATAAATTATCTTCTGTTGTTTGTAGCTTTGTATTTAGTTTTATTGCTTAATTTCAAACAATGAGGCAAAATGTTTGTTACTTTTTAAACATATAGCACTTATTATACTTTTAAACATGTAACACTTAAACATATACTTTTAAACATATAACACAGTAATTATTAATATTTAAATGAACAAATTTTAAAATTAAAAAGCTGAATAAAATACAAAAACCTACTTAAAATTATACTAGATGCTCTGAATCATAATATTTGTTGTTAAAATTTTTTAGTTTTATATTATATTTTTCACATAATGTTATTAGATCTCTCTTAAAAGTTACTGAAAAATGAAAAGTTTTAAGCCCTCTAGATTTTTAGCATCTACGCTTGTGTCTGTATCGCTATTATTTTCCTTCTTACAATTTTGATCACATTATTATGAATTTTGCTGTTCAAATTTCTTTGTAATATTGACAGTGCAAACCATTTTAGGTTTCCTAAATTTTCATGTTTATTAATCCGGATCTGAATTTTACGTAGAACCTACATGGTGTTTTGCAGTCTGAATAAACTTCTGCCTGTGTCAACTAGTTTATCATATTTTTGCCTAGAGGTTTGAATTGATATTTTTTGTAAGTACATAATTGATATTATATAAAATCTCTTTATTGCTTATTTTAAAGTATTCATACTCACATATTTTTTTAAAGAAAGGAAATATATTTACTATATAATTTAATAATTTTAAGTACATTTAATTCACCATGAAGTCCTGAGAAAATATATATTGTTATAGCAACAAATCAGCTAGAAAAATTAACTTAAGATTGAATGTTGAGAAAACAAAATATATGTATTGTGGTAC